CAAAAGAGATGTTTTGTAAAACGCTGGTTGCATCAGACTCTTCCAGCAGTGGTGTTAATGCAGCAAGGCGCTTGCCAGGATTATCAATGGCCACGGCTGCACGGAAGCTGCTATCGAACGCAGCGTTGTATTGTCCAAAACAGCAAAAGGCTGGAACGATCAGGAACAATGTATACAGCAGGTACCTGGCTTTTTGCAGGAAGGGAGAACAGTAGTGTCTTAACATTACCAGCAGACGATATTTAGCGGCGTAAATATAGTAGCCACATCGCTTTTTAAGCTATGGTAACAGCCGTGTAAAATTGTAATTAGGTTAACTTTCTGCAGCTTATTCTTTCACCTGCCTGATATTGTGAACATTAAGCCGTAGAAAATAAATTCCGGGCAAATACATTGAGAATCGGATTCGAATATGTTCTATTGGATAATTTTTTACCATAATGCGGATAGAAAAAGGGAGCAACCGATTTATCAACTGACAGTACCCGTTCTTCACCTTTTATACCCCGAACTTCAATCTTCTCGAAAAGGGCCTCGGATCGTTCTGAGATTTGCGGAATATAATCACCAAAGCTGCTAAGCATACTGTTTAGCGTTTTCTTCCATGTCATAGTCACCAAATAATTTAATGATTTTCTCTGAGGGGCATAAGGTTTCGCTTTTAGTTATATGATTAAATAAACTTGATAAAATAAATGAGATATGTTTACTAGATATGTTACCTTAATAAGGTCCATGCTCACCGGTGTGTGTGTATTGGTACTTTCGGGCTATACCTATGCCCAGGGAAACGGAAATTATTGGAGCTTTAATGCCAGTCCAGGTGCAACCCTTGATCCTATGGCCGGCGCCACACAAATTGTAAATGGTGCTGCTAACGGCGCATCGACGGTAAGGGACATCGGTTTTAATTTTAATTTCGGGGGGAACGTCTATACTCAATTCTCCGCATCGTCTGCAGGCTACCTGCGCCTGGGTGCCACAACAGGTCACGTTACCGCCAATGACTTCTGGAGTACCTCTATGACCGCTCCGGTTATTGCCCCTTTCTGGGATTGCAGCAATTCTGCTTCCGTAGCTAATACAGGTGGCGTTAAAATGTTGCTGAGCGGCGCCGCCCCTAACCGGGTACTAAAGGTAGAATGGCGTTTAACAGCGCCCACCGGTACCAGCGTACCGACAGCCGGGGCCGCCAATGAAGTGTTCCAGGTATGGTTATACGAAACGACCAACCAGGTAAGATTTTACTATGGGGCTATGCAAAATGGCCATAGCGCCAGTATCGGGTTTACGGGTGCTGATGAAGCGACGCAGCTATTTTCCATTACGCCGAATGCCACTATTGCCAGCAGTACTTATAGCTGCTTCACGGCCAATAATGCGGTGAGCAATGGTGCAGCGCTGGCCAATACAACGATCGCTTTTGTGCCGACACCATTAACCGGTACGCTGGCCGTTGGCACCGCAGGTACTTTTAAATCTATTGATAACGCATTAGGGCAGCTCAATTGGGCAACAACGCCCGCGGGCGCCACGATCTTGAATATTGATCCTGCCATTACGGAGACGGTGCGGAGTGGTACGACGGTACCGGCAGTAGACGTACCAGCAGGTTATATCATTTCCGCTACAGGGACCAGCACAAACACCATTACCATACAAGGTAATGGCGGCATGCCTACTTTAAGGCCTGGTACGGGTATCGGAAATTATGATTTTGTACTCGGTATCGCGGGTGGTGATTACATCACGATCAACAGTCTGAAAATTGTCGAT